CTATGAAGGTTTGGTGTTTCAATTGGTATTGAATAAGTTTCTAGACTTTACTGATTCCAAGGCGATTCATGTCTCTTCATCAACTTGTCAAAATAAACTACCCAAATCAACTGTAACCCCAAGCCATCTATTCAATCGCGTGGGGTGCCTCTGTCTTCCACCCAGACGCACAGACCATCTCAACCCAGAAATCCGTGGACGTCATCTCAGACCACGAACAGATTTTGAGTGAGAGTGAGAAGCTTAAGTGTAAGGCCGCACCGTGTTAGCCAAACCCAACACGCAACAATGGCGCAAGAAACACCAGAGCCCGTCAGCATCCCAGATCCCCGGAAGGACGGAAAGGAGGGAAAGAAGCTGTACCTCTGGTCGAGGTCAACTCAAGGGCCCGTGGGCGAGGGCGCGCCGGGCTCAGACACATCACCACCGACGACAGCAGCGGCAGCAGCAGCAGCGCCGAAGCCCGACCCTAAGGATTTCCAGGCCAACTTCCCCGTGCAAGAGGGCGCCGCCGCGCAGAAGCCCACCACGGCCTGGGAGGTCGTCAAGAACATCAAGTCGGAGGATTTCACAACGTTCGCGCAGGCGCCTTGCGCGAGAGACGGCTTGCTCACGGGTATCGCGGCGGGATTCGTCGTGGGCGGGTTGAGATTGGTCTTTAAGGGTAATGCTCCCCTTTCTCTTACAACTCATGACGCATCGGTGAGACGCATATGAGCTAGAGCTGACACATAACCCACAGGCACAATCGGCAAGGCCTCAAACTGGGCCGTCGGCAGCTTCCTGCTCGGTGCGGCCGGCCGCCATGAGTACTGCCAGTACGAGCGCCTGCAGGAGCGCATCAGGATGAAGAGGACGGTCGAGGTCTATCAGGAGACCATGGCCGAGAAGCGCCGCAAGGAGGCCGCGGCGGCGTTGGAGCAGAAGAAGGCCGAGGAGGTCGTAAAGGCTAGCCAGAAAGCTTGGTATAAGTTCTGGTGAGAAAGCAAAAAACACACGTCAACCCCCATCTTTGGAGGATCTCTTGCAAATCCTTCCGTGTACGAATATCTCTTCTGCGAAGTGCAGAAGGCGTCGGTGGCATTGGGCATGACGCACGCGTCGTGATGGGAAGATGTAAAAGCTCTGCATCATCTCAAGTCCATTTCGTGTTTGGGGTATAAAAGAAAGACTATATCAATGTCGTCCACCCAGACTCCCTTGCTTGCTAATAGCAAAATCGCACTGGCGCTTCTCCTGCGTCGATAAAATAAAGATACCAGACTGGTCATCGTCTAATGACAGCGGTACACCCAAGAGCCAAGTAGCGAATACCTCAAATGCAAGCCATGCCGTCGCCGCCCACGCCTGTGCCAGAATAACAAAACCATTTAAACGCCCATAAACACCGGCCTTCGTCTGAGCCATACTGGCCAGCCATAAGTAAAGTCTTCTCCAGCACAACCTCGTCGTGCCTACCGGCTCATCCATTCGTCACAATCGTATTCGGCTCCGAGTCAAACCGCACCTTGCGCACGCCGCTTCCGGAAGCTGGCTTCGTGTCAATCTTAACCCCCAAGCCCGCGCCGCTGCCGCGTCGGCGCTGACTCCGCCGGGCTCTTGCCTCGCTCTCCTCCCGCTTCTTATACTCGGCCAGCTGCAGCCGCCGCTTCTGCGTGCGCGCGTACGCCATCGCCGCCGTCGGCATGAACCCGACCCCGTTGATTCCCGTGCCGTCGTCGTCCTCGTCATCCGGGTCGTAGATGGTAATCTCCTCCTCCTTCCACGTCAGCGCTGCCCTGACGGGATCCACAATCTGCATCTCCTCGTCCTCGTCTTGTGGTGCTGCCTCCGCGGCGTTCTTGCCCTTGCGGCCTTTGAGGGGCGGTGTGCCGGCTCGTCTGCGTCCTCTAGCCTTTGCGTCTTGTAGCCGGCTGAAGAAAGTTTGTGGTCGTTGCAGGCCAGGTGCGGCCGTCGTGCTCGTAGCGGCAGCCATTGTGCCGTCGGGGGAAATCTCCGCAGCAGCCTCTGCCTCAGGCGCGGCCACGCTCACACCCGTCGTCGGGGCGAGGCCCGGATCACTTCTGACCTCAGGGTCCGGAACCGCGACCGGCTCATCCTCGTCGGCGTCCTTCATCTCCAGCTCGGGTATCTTGGCTCTCTTGCGGCTCGCAAAGGGGTCGTCGTCGTAGGCTCCGTCGCCGCTGTCACCCAAGTCGCGAGTCGGGTCGTAGGGGCCCTGGCGCTGAGGTTGTTGGCTACTGCCCTGTTGCTGGGCTACCCCGCCCCCACCACTTCCACCACCGCCACTGAGCGCCAAACCACGGAACTTGTGCACCACCTTGCTGCGCGGGCTCGCGCTCCCGTCCTCGTCGCTCTTAGCATCCGGAAGCTGGAAGGAGAACTTGGCCGTGGTGTAGATGGGCGACAGCGGAGGGGCCTCCTCGTCTCTCTTGCGCTTTGGCGTCGCCGTCGGGGTCGGGAAGGCGTCTGTCATGATTGATGGCTCGCCCCGTCTGGGCGGTGTTGAAATGGGCGTCTGACACGTTGGGGGTACTCCAAGATTGTCAGTTTGAAGAATGCAGAGCGTCGCGGTCGCCGTGAGTCTTGAACCGCCTAACCTGTAGAGAGGTTTTATTTCGACCAGGGGTATCTCGTGTGTAGAAGAGGAAAGTCGCAGTCGGTGAGGGAGTTGTCGAGAGGTTGAAATTGGCGTTCGTTGAGTACGTCCGGCAGTTACACTTCGGGGCGATCCTTCCTTGGAGGTTGGCAGTCCCTGCGCTAACCGTTGCGTTGGCGCGATAAGCAGCCAAAAGACGCTAAGATAAAGCTAGCGCCCCTCGGTGAGCTGCGCACCCTGCGAGAGCTCGTCTTCGTCCCAACTTTTATGCTTTCATCTCCATCATCAGATCAGTCACATCGGCTATTTTTTTCATGGCACACGGGCGTGTAACTTATGAGCCGAATCAGGCGCTTACGAATTCTCATCCGCAGGCCCAAGCATCAAGGGAATTCACCAAGGTCATACATGATCAAGACAACGTTTGGCGAATGATTACGAGGCCAATACGTTGATATCATTACTATAATCCTCAATTCTCATAAGCTTCACACCCAGCACTCACTCAGTCGCTCCAAGCCTTGTACACGATGCGCGTTCCATAAGTCTCGCCCTTCTTCAGCAACATCTGGCTCTTCCACCCGTCCACGTTGATCGCGTTCACCCACCGGCTCGGCTCCACGCAGAACCCGCTCCTCTTGCCCCTCGCCGGCGCGCCCTCGACGGCGGGCACGTCGATGCCCTCGCCGGTGTAGAACTGGAAGGCGGGCTCTGTGCTGAGGACCTCGAGGTTGACGCCGTTCTTGGGGTGCTTCGCGTGCACGTGGAGCTTCAGCGCCTCCTTGCGCGTGTCGATGGGCACGAAGTCGGGCTTCTCGTTGACAATAAAGCAGTCGTCGACCTCGGGGCCGTCGACGCCGAGCTCGAAGGCCTTGCCGCCCTCGATGCCGGGGAACGGCGCGGGGCCGCCGGTCGGGATGCCGTTCTCGCGGGGCAGGTAGGCGTTGGTCGCCAGCGTGGCGATGGTGCCGGCAAAGGTCTCGTCGCCTGTGAGGTTGAAGTAGGAGTGGTTCGTCATGTTGATGGCCGTCTCGTCGGCGCCGTCGACCAGCTTCGCCTCGTACTCCATGCCCAGCACGGAAACCTCCTTGCCGTCGACTTCCTGGGTACCGGCGGTGTAGATCACGGTGGCCTTGACGGTGCCAGGGAACCCCTCGTCGCCGTCCTCGCTGGTGAGCGAGAACTCGACGCTCTCGCCGCCCTTGAGACCCTCGACGCCAGGGATCTCGCGGGTGCCAACGGGCTTGGGACCCTCCCACACGCGCTTGCTCCAGGGTTTGTTGCCGCCGTGCAGGTTGTTGGCACCGTCGTTGGCGGCGAGCTTGTAGGTCTGGCCGCCGTTGAGCGACTTGAGCTGTGCATTCTCGAGGCGGTTGGCGACGCGGCCGACGGTGACGCCAAAGTAAGGCGAGTTGTGCTTCTCGTAGAGCTCCTGGGTCGGGAAGCCCTGGACGATGTTGGTTCCCTTGACCTTGAAGGACTGGAGGATGGCGCCCAGGGGCAGGAACTCGAAAGGAGCATCAGCCATGGTTACGGATGTAGGTGACGAGGTCGTGAGTGAGAGGCAATGGGGAATCCAATCCGAGTATTTGGGTCACGAATTGCCGGATTCAGGTAATGTTTACGACGTGTCCAGGTGAAATCACGCAACGCGGTAGAGGGGATGTGTCTTTTAAGTGTCGCAAATCTGCCTTGCTTCACTGGGCAACGCGACGAGAGTTGCAATTCAGGCTATTACTGCTTGTATTGCGCTTGTTGGCGGATGCAGTGGGGTGGTTGGACGAGGATTGGAGGGAAAGTGCTGAAGAGAGATGACGGCGTCGGCGGGGCACTCGCTCGTGGCGGGGTAAATTGGAGACACAGGCATGGGCACTCGCCCGCCCAAGCTTCCCCTCTCCTTGCTCGTACTGCGGAACGCGCTCTCCTCACGCAACCATGGACGCCAAATCGGCCCCCGTCAAGCCCCTAGCCCTGTCTCCAGCGGCCATGCTGACGTCTGACTGGCGCGTTTAAGAAGCCCATAAGCAGCTTTGAGCCGTCGGAACCAGTTGTTGTGAGAGATGGATAGGCAGACGTACCTGGCCCTTGAGAGGTTCGCTTCAAGTGCGGATTCCCACCAGACTGGATATCGGCTCTGGCCGCAGGAAACTTGCCAAATGTCAGAGAGGACCCCCAATCAGAAACCAAATTCGCTGGATAAAAGCTACGCGTGCCGGGGTTCCTAATGGCATCCGACTCCATATTCATTACCGCCTCGGCCGACATTCCGCGATGACCCCCCAAACATCATGACAATGCGTGCGCCAATGGTATATAGTACAGTACAACCTGCAGCAAGTGCAGTCAGCCAAATCATGCTCCAAGTCCGTGAGAAAATGCTACTCTGTCCGAGTGCCGGTGATCAATCCGACTCTTCATCGTCGTCGCCGAGGAACGCCAGGTCCGCACGCGCCTTGCCACGGGCACGCGACGACACAACTGCCTCTTCCTCTTCATCATCGTCACCTTCATCGTCCTTCTCTTTCTCCTCGCCAGAGAGCTCTGGTTCCACAACCTTCTTCGCCGGCTGACCGCGCGCCTTGCTCCTTGACGATCGGCCACCAGCGCCCCAGTTCTCGTTCATTTCCTGCACCGCCTCCAAATCAGCCTCGAGCTCTCTGCGCTCCTTGATCTCCCGAGCTCTGGCTTCCGAAAACCGGCCGTCCATGCCAATGTCCTTCAGCATGCCTCTGAGGTGCTTGATCTTGGCCTTTGAATTGTCGCCGTATTGCTTCAGCTCAAAGCCCCAAATCTTGCGAATGCCGCACTTGACTAAGTGAGACTGTAGCTTCTTGATTTCAGCGTCGTCCGGGTTCTCCGGCGCGGCCGCCTTCTTCTCCTTCTTTTCCTTCTTCTCCTTTGGCGCCTTGGGAGCGCCGGCTTCCTTCTTCTTGCGCTTCGGCTTGGGCGGCTCGTCTATAACGTCAGACAATTCGCTGGTCGTGTCATCATCGAGCGTCGGGTGTTCTTCCTTCTTCTCGTTGGCAGCTTCCGGCTTCTCGGCAGATTCCTCATCTTTAGCTTCGACAGGTGACTTCTCCTTGGCCGGCGCCTTGGGAGAAGCCTTGAGCTTCTCATCTTCTGCCTCGTCCTTGTCACTCCCAGCCTTGTCATTGTCACTCTCGGGCGGGGTGGACAGCGCATCGGAGTCGCTGTCTTCGACCTTTTCTGCTTTTTTGGCGCGTCCGTTCTTGGCTTTGGAGGTTTTCGCTTTGACGGGGCTTGGCCCCTCATCAGAATCGACGGTGGCGCGCGACTTCTTGCGCGGGGCTGCCTTCTTCTTGGCCTTCGGCTTCTCGACCTCCGACTCTTCGTCCTCAGGTTCCTCCTCTTTGGCGGCAGATGCACGCTTCCTGCGCTTCGCTGGCGGGGACGTCGCAGCCGACTGACGTTTTCCCTTTTTCGGTTTCGCGACAACTTCTTCCTCGGGTTCCGGGGATCCGGGCCCGGCGAGTAGTTCGTTCTGCCACGGGGCTCATCAGCTGCTGTGGATCGCAAGAGCACTTGCGCGCGCCCTGCCACTTACAGCGAGTTCCTTGATCAATTTCTTGCTCTTGTCCTTCCATTCGCCCGTGGAAAAGAATCCATCCTCAAGATCGAGGTCGCTTTCGACGCGCTTGCGAATGGTGTTCACAGTGAGCTCATCCTTGTCGGATTCGAAGACCTCACGGACGGTCTTGAGAAGCTCCGTCTCGATCTTCTTGTCTGAGGGAGCCATGGCCTCGCGTGACAGGGATAAGCAACGAAAAATGTCCCTTTTGTTCGAACAGAGAAGCTCACAGGTAATCGATTAATGAACGTGGGGTTGATACAAGTGTTCCGGCAGAGCACGAGCAGCTCTTCGCGGTTGTCGTCGCGTCGCAGAGAAACAAAGCCAGCGCGCTTGCCCGCATCTCAATTGAAACCGGGGAGCAGCTGCGACTGGCTTGGACCGAAGTGGGGCTCAAGTCACCCGGCACTGGTCTGAGCTTCTCGCTACGTACCTGAAGCTCTGGAAGCAGCGATGGGAATGATTCCCAAGTCATGGAGGAAACCTTGAGCGCTTCCAGCATGATGACATGCACTCATGATATTATCCATCTTCAGTGCCCCCATAAAGTGAAAATATACTGTTACATGCCTTATGATTGCTTTCAAGGACAATGAACCAAGCGATGCACCATCAGGTTGGCTTGAAAGAATACAAGCAGTAGAAGATGATCAATTGAAATCACCTGAGAATATCCGTCTGGTTAGATTATGAGGAACTGTAAGGAACTAGAATCTACCAACGAAGAAAATCAGCACAACCATGACCGGTGCGAGGGTCAATTCGGGCCGGGAACTACAAGCAACCCGCCCAAGGAAGTTTTGGTCCGGATTCCCGGGGAGAAAACGGGCCTTTCGATGCCAGCCTGCGGTCGCCCAACGGAGACCTTGTGGGCTGGATGATTGGGTTGGAGCGCTCTTTAGGCTTCTGGCGGCCGCTATTGGCCAGCAAGACGGGTTAAACGTTGAAAGGTCGCTCAGCTGCCGGGGCGGAAGCTCCTTTTGAGGGCCTCTGCAACTTGTATCAACCTGGTAACACCTTTCTGGCTGGAGCCGTTTCCTTGGATGCGGACTACGGTTCACAGATGACGGCACGCTTGCGTTGTGTTTGGGGGACCCGACAGGTCAGGGTTCACCTGTCAGACATGAGGCTCCCTTGCTGAAGATTTCCAGTCGTTGGCGCAGTGGATGGAAGGAAAAGTTCAGAGGCATCGTGAACATTCTGTGTTCTATCGCCGATGTGGTGCCCACTTCCTCGGCGCCGGCCTCTCCACCGTCGAGCGGGTATCGTCAAGGTCCTGGAAGTACCGGTACCTGATTTATTCGCTCTCTCCCTCGAGGCATTGGGCCTTTTCTGGGTCGTTGCAGTCGGGCGGCTGAGGAGATCCGGCTCAACGGCCCTGCAGATTTATATCGCTCACCATGAGCTCGGCGTGATTCCCTAATTGTCCGGTAACCTCCTCGGTAAGACGAGCAAATGGGCATCTCAAGTTGGCCAAAGAGAGCAGATGCATATGCCGGAGGAGGACGGAATGGCTGGAGGGGTCCAGAACGGGCTGCGATTAAATCAGCATAAAAAATGACAGAGACGTGGGAAGCAGTGACAGACCGGAATTTGGCCCCAGGACTAACACGACATGGGTCCACGCCAAAATTACGTAGATGGCACCTCAGTAACGCCAGGCCCCAGGTTAGTTGGTCAACAAGTTTAGATACAGGTAAGCTAATCTGCAGTTTGGCTGCGTAAAACATTCCTCTGAGAGTCTCGCCGACGACTTTACCTACGAACCCAAGGTAGCTTTTCCTGTACGTACATCACCTGCTTTGCCCAAGCTGCCCAGCAAACCACATGAAGCAAGTAGGTACCTCTACTTCTGGGAGCAGCAGCTGCCCTGTCTGATTACCCGTTGAACTTGCCTCCCGTCCCTCCTCTTCAACACCCTCAAAACCCAAGGCACTTTGTCACCTCTCACCGCACACCTCGCATCTCCCGTTTTCTTCTACTGCCACCCTGGCTCGGCCCAGTCAGAACGAAGCTCCGTCACTTCAGTCAACAAACGGGTAATTGGACGTTTTGGAAGCACGTTAGCCAACCATCGACTAGCCGCCCTGTTCCGCCTCTTTCCATCCAGCCATCCATCCCAAGCTACTTTTCTTCTTTTCCTTTCCTCCCAGACGAAGACCTCCACCACGCTGTATTGCACTTGTTGTGCTGGCTTGTGTCACCCTCCACGCACTCGGTGTTCTCCTGGGATTCGGGCAGCCCGATCACTGTTGTTCTCTCCATCTACATACCGCTGTCTCCTCCCGCTGCCTGCTTGCTTCATTCACGGCTCCGGCTTGAGCAAGCGAACCACCCCCAAAAAACCAGCTCCCCACCAGCAACAAAGCTAGGTAGGTAAGCTTGCATCTATCCCTGGCTCACAATCCCATCGCTTTTGCATTGCAGCGACAAACACCCTGGCTCCTTATTGCGTCGCTTGCACATCAGGTACCTCATAGTGCAGGACACCAGCCGAACCTACATTTACCCCTCCATTCCCCCGCAAGCTCATCCCAGCCTGACAACGACTCAGCTAACACCTTTCCCACCGCCACAGGACCACTAAGCTAGCTGCTGTTGCTCCCCAAATTCCCACCCGAACGAAGGAACCCACGATTTTCTTCCCTTCCCACCTTTCAACTCAAACGCACCGCCGGGCAACCCATTCCCACCATGCCTGCGCTCGTCGACGATGACACCGCCCCCGGGCGCCTCTTGCTCCTCTCCAACCGATTGCCCATCACCATCAAGCGCTCCGACGATGGCAGCTATTCCTTCTCCATGTCCTCTGGTGGTCTCGTCACCGGTCTCAGTGGACTGTCAAAAACCACAAGCTTCCAATGGTACGGCTGGCCGGGCCTTGAGGTCCCCGAAAACGAGATCGCCGGTATGAAGCAGCGTCTCAAGGACGAATACGATGCCCATCCCGTCTTCATTGACGATGAGCTTGCCGACAAGCATTACAACGGCTTCTCCAGTGCGGACAATCCTCCCGAATCTGCCTTCTGTAACAGTGAAACTGACAATTCGCTCTACAGACTCCATCCTCTGGCCCCTCTTCCACTACCACCCCGGTGAAATCACATTCGACGAGAGTGCATGGAGCGCATACCGCGAAGTCAACCGCCTGTTTGCCAAAGCCGTCGTGAACGATGTGCAGGATGGCGACCTGATTTGGGTCCACGACTATCACCTCATGCTCCTTCCCGAGATGCTGCGCGAGGAGATTGGCGACTCCAAGAAGAATGTCAAGATTGGCTTCTTCTTGCACACCCCCTTCCCTTCTTCCGAGATCTACCGCATCCTCCCCGTCCGTGAGGCGCTCTTGACGGGTGTTCTTGACTGTGATCTCATCGGATTCCACACATACGACTACGCTCGTCACTTCTTGAGCAGTTGCTCTCGCATCCTGTAGGTTCACATCTGGGACTGACAGCAAAGAATTGCGACTAACATTACCCAGCGGAACCCCAACAACCCCTAATGGCGTCGACTACAACGGCAAATTCGTCACCGTCGGCGCATTCCCCATTGGTATTGATCCCGAGAAGTTCGTTGAAGGCCTCAAGAAGCCAAAGGTGCAGGAGCGCATCGATGCCCTCAAGCGCAAGTTTAACGGCGTCAAGCTCATCGTCGGTGTTGATCGTCTTGACTACATCAAGGGCGTTCCCCAGAAGCTCCACGCACTCGAGGTCTTCCTGACAGAACACCCCGAATGGATTGGCAAGATCGTTCTTGTCCAGGTTGCCGTGCCCTCGCGTCAGGATGTCGAAGAATACCAGAACCTCCGCGCTGTCGTCAACGAGTTGGTCGGTCGGATCAACGGAAAGTTTGGCACAATCGAGTTTATGCCCATCCACTTCCTTCACCAGAGCGTCTCCTTCGACGAACTCACCGCTCTGTACGCCGTCTCAGATGTCTGCCTCGTCTCTTCAACGCGCGACGGCATGAACCTGGTTTCGTACGAATACATTGCGACTCAGCGCGAACGTCACGGTGTCATGATTCTCTCCGAGTTCACTGGAGCAGCCCAATCCCTCAACGGTTCCCTCATCGTGAATCCGTGGAATACGGAGGAGCTCGCAAACGCCATCCACGATGCCGTCACCATGTCTCCCGAACAGCGCGAGACCAACTACCGCAAACTGGAGCGCTACGTCTTCAAGTATACCTCGTCGTGGTGGGGCCAGTCCTTCGTCGCCGAAATGACCCGCCTATCTCAGGAAACAACCCAACAGAAGACTCTGAGAAACATTAGCGGCAACGTCGTAGGTCAGGTCAGTAAGGCTTTACAAAGCGCCGTCGAGGGCGTCCAGAACCTATCAGTCAAGGATGGCGAGGAGAGCAAGCAGGAGAAGCAAGAAGCGTAACGGGCCGCTATAGGTGGCACATTTGACGAAAGCATGATGAAGAAAAGAAGAAACACATACATACCCCAACCTCTTAAACCACACACACCCAGCAAATACTCGTCACGCCGAAGCATAGCTGTTTGGGAAATGGTAGCACATGAGCGAGGCGAAATCACCAGTTAACGTCAGGTTGGGCAGAGGGCATCGAGCCAAGCGGAGTTTGTTTTATTACGGGATCTTTCCTCTCATGCTATCGTGGGAAGGAGAGGGTATTCGGGAGTGTTAGACAACACAGGAACAATATCTCTCTTGTCCCATTTGTATTTTCGAGTTTATGTTGGTTTAGCATTAGACTATCTACCTACTAAAGGACCGGTTTTAACCGATGCAGCTCAAGTGTTGTTGTGAGACCACGCCTCCTAAACCCCATAACGTCAGTAAAGACAACTTGCACGAAACAACAGCGATCACCATAAGCACATTAGATAACAACGACACTAAGCAGGGAATTGTTTCATGTAATTGAATTTGTTCTGATGTCAAGAGGTATCTAAAGGGGTAAAGTGACTCTCTCATGTGAGCACTCGAGAGAGACACACAAAGAATAGAAGCAAGCGAAAGGGCCGCATTTGAATGGTAGCAAAAAAAGAAACACATCCGTGCCTTGGAAGGGGGTTGGTGGTGCTGTAAATCCATTTCCGGGGAAAACGCCCGTCGTCGTGAAAAAGAGACGTTCCAACATCAATGCGTACACAAGTCTGAGAAACAATGCAGAATGTGTGTATACACACACAAGGTCCGAGGGAAATCAGTAAGGCGAGTCGACGATGTCGTCCTTGCCCAGCTTGTAGCGGCTGCTCTGCGGGGTTCCGATGCGGCCCGAGTCTCTGCTGCGTCCTCCGCCCATGCTCAGTCTGGCCCATCCGGGGCCGGCGATGCTCTCGCGCGTGGGGCGCTTGAGGCCCTGCTTGCCGACCATGTTGACCTCGTTAGGCAAGGCGACGATGACGTTCTTGTCGGAGCCGAATTTGAAGTCGTCGGCCTTGACCTCCTCAGCGTAGCGCTTGATGAGGTAGGGCGCCTTGGCGCCACGGAGGACCTTCTTGAGGTTCCACTCGACAATGTACGGTCCCGTGGCCGTGATGATGCTCTTCTCCTCTGCGTCCGTGCCTGTGTTAAAGCGCGCGGGGGTGAAGGAGACGGGCTTTCCGGTCTCGTGAGCGAACTGGGCTACGTGCTCAGGCGTAAGAGCGAGACGGCGCGGCTGAGGCTTAGAGTCGGCAGCAAAGGACTTCTCAAAGCCGAGCTTGCCCTCATTCTTGCCCGACTTCTGCATGGCGTCGATCAAGAGGATGTAGGTCCTGCAGGTGGCAAGAATCCAGCGACCGTCGGCGGAGACGTCGAGGCCGATGATGGCCTCACCGAGGGCGGGGATGTGCGTCTTGGCGTTGATGCCCAGGCGATCGAACAGGCGGACGTCTCCCTTGTTGGACGCAACGGCGATGTAGCCCTTCTCTGTCGTGGAGATGGCGGAGAAGTCGTTCTTGGAGGCGTACTGCTTGAGCTGGGAGTCGACAAGCTTGGTGCCGGACAGACGGGGATCGACACGGTAGAGTGCGTTCTTGGAGATACACTCCGTTGCGTTGACAGCGTCCGCCCCCAAGTTTGACCCGGAAGGAAAATTTTCCGCTAGCTTAGAAACCCCTTAAAACCCCCTAAACTTCACGTTTTAATAACTCTATGCGTACGCAATGCGCGTAAATAAAAAATATATCAATCGATAGCCCTCGATTAGGTGATTATAATGATATCTTTTTTATTCTCGCGCATTATATACGCATAGAGTTATCTAAGTGTGAAGTTTAGGGGGTTTTAAGGGGGTTTCTAGGTTAGCGGATACTTAACGCAACGCTAAAAAGAAAAAACGAAACCCCCGGCGCGTTGCGTTGAACTGTCCGCTTAAAAAACCCCTCAAAATTAGCCTTAACTTCACACTTAGATAACTCTATGCGTACGTAATGCGCGAGAATAAAAAAGATATCATTATAATCACCTAATCGAGGGCTATCGATTGATATATTTTTTATTTACGCGCATTACGTACGCATAGAGGTATTAAAACGTGAAGTTTAGGGCGATTTGGTGGTTTTTCGGTAAAAAGCCCCTTTTTTTGCCTTTTTCGGGCTAAAAACTGCGGGGTGGACGCTGTCAACGCAACGGAGTGTACCCAGGAAGGTGGGCTCGTGCGTCATTTGGGCGTACTTGTTCTCTGGCGCGAAGTTCAAGACGGGAATGTCCTCGTGAACGTTCCACTCGTCGACGACCTTGCCGTACTCCAGGTCCATGCGGTAAAGCTTATTGGGGTCCGTCTCATTCTGCAAAATCATGTTACGGTCCTCGTTGTGAAGCATGACCTTCTTGGGACTGAACAGTGTGCCCTTCGGCGTCTCGACCTTGGAGATATTGGTCGAGAATTCAAGGTTGTTGTTAGGCGTGTGCTTGAAAACACCGATCTTGGATCCGCGCACGACAAATGATCGGTCGTGCTTGTAGCCAACAGCAAGCTGTGAGTTAACGTTACCATCCTCGTCCTTGGTAGCGACGTCATCCTCCTCTTCGTCGCTATCGTAGTGCTCGCTGCGCTGGGCATCATCCTCGGCGTCTTCGTAATCCTCTTCCTCCTCTTCTTCCTCGGGGGTATCTTCCATCGTAAGGTCGTTGAAGGCATCCGTGATGTACTCCTGCTCCCTCTCCTTAATCTTCTCCCACTTAGTCTCGTTCAATTGCTCCCACAGAGCACGGAGAAGAGCGTCTTGGAACCGCTCCAAAGTTGGCTGGTCCTTGAAACGAAGAAGCCAAGAGTAAGCCGATCCATCAGGGGAGAACTGGTTGAAAATGAAGGAGAGAAATTCGAAGTTGAAGACGGGGTTGATATCGGCTACGATGGGAATGCCGAGCCACGCGCGGTCCTCGCTCTCGACCTGCAGCCAGTACTCCCACTTGCCGACCTCCGTAACAGTGGCAGTGACAGCGGCATCTTGCTGAACAAACGAGCCTGAGGGGAAGTCGAAGAAGTGCAACTCCGCCTTCTCGGCAGCGTAAGTGCTGAGGGCCTCAGGAGCCTCGGCAGACTTGGGCGGGGCCGTGTCCTTCTTCTTCTCAGGCATGGTAGGCGTCTTGACGGGCGTTTGCTCTTGTTCGGCGGATGTGTTTGCGGCCTGGGGCGGGGTCTGGGGCACAAACAAGCCGTCGGAAGAGTCGATCGAGCGCGTCAGCGTCGGGCTGTGAATAGGGCTCGCGGGAGGAATGGGATGCTCCTCCTCGAACTCGAACTGGTCGAGGTCGGCGTCTGAAGCGGTAGTGTGTGGCTTGCGGTACTTGCGTTCGTATTGGCACTCCTTCGCGATGCGGTCGAACTGGGAGACTTGGCCGGGAGAGACGACGTTATCGCAAACAAACTCGTAGACGTCGCCGGTATCACCGCTCAGATCACGCCAGGCAAGGATCTTGTCACTGCCGTCACGAAAGTCGACTCGGAAGTGGAGTGCCTCGTCGAGCAGGAAGGTCTTCTCGTCTCTCTCGGCAGCGGCAAGTGCGTCGATCTCGGCGTCTTCTCCTTCCTCTTCGGCCAGAAGCTCAGCCTCGCCTTCCTCGTAGACTCTCTGGATGACGAGCTGGTACTGGAAGTCCTGTGCGGTGCGTCGGATACGGGCGGCGGCGTCCTTGAAGATGAGTTCGGAGTAGCCCTTGGGCGAGAGTGGGCGGACGAGGTAGAGTTGTCCTTGGGGGAGTTCGATCAAAGACTCTTGGTTACTGGATCCGAAGATGAGCTTGCCCACTGTTGAACGAGGTGTGTTAGCGAAAATGTCGTATGAAGTGAGTGTGTAGGCAGATGTTGCAAATGAAGGGAAAAGTGGAAAATGTCGGCCAACCTGTTGGTCGCAAACGGTGATGACGAACAGGCCCAACCAACAAATCTCACATGGAATTTGCGGTCGCGGGACAAGAGCAAACAGGAGTGGCAGAACAGACCGTTAGCAACAGGTGGGTGGCGGGGTAAACTTACCGTTTCTGAGGACAAACATTTTGAGAGCTCAAGAGGGGAAGAGGGGCTCGGTTTAAGAAGGGAATCAGTCGCGGACGCAGTTGCTTGTATTTATGATCTTCGCAAAAGCAAATGATTCCCGTCGGCGTGGAATGAGAAAGAGGAGGAGAGAGCGGAAAGTGCCAGGCCTTGGCCACGAAATGAACAGAGAGAGACAGATCAGGCACTAAAGGTACGACCGGGAAGGAAAATGCGTCATAACAAAAAGGTAGCTTTCCTGGGTTTTGGGGTCACGGTCGTAGCTGCTGGTGCTGCTGCTGCTGATGGAGGGGACGAGGGGTCAAAGGTGGCCTGTGGCGGTGCACGTCCCTCTTTCTTTCCTCCAATTTTTCTCGCCACGGCAACCTGCGGATACGTCAGCCACAGCGGCAGGGATGTCACGGGGACCCTTGGAAGCCGGGGATGGGTGGTCCTGCTTGGTCTGGGCCCAACAGCACCTTGGAAGGTACCTTGGGTACATACCAGCGCAAGCCGTGAGTGACAGCAGCACCTTCCCGCCGCCCGGGTTCCCTCCCGCCTGCTGCAGACTGCAAGAAACTTGGATCTTGTACCTGCTTGCAGCAGGCGCACGAAGTATATTTTCCTTTTTGCTGAGTAAGATACCGTTTCCCGACTCTCTGATATTTGATAACGCAGTTATCATCCGGCCATGTCTTGAAGGTTTGATCCCTAGCGACCTGAAAGTCGAGATGTGACTTCCCGGGAGCTTCTACCTACAGAATATTAGCTCACTTTTTGTTTGAGTTAGGGGATCTCAGCCGTCGGATGCACTCATCCAGGTCTCAAACTCTGACTAAGCCATTTTGTTTGTTTGTTACCAAGAAACACTTCATCATCCGAGTGGTTCGGGAAGCTGAAAACCAACCACTTACTGATGTCGGGTGTCTCTGTTAAAGTGGCATTTTGATTGTGAGTTGGGGCTTAGAGAAGGCTGAAGCCCGCCACGTCCGATTCAGGATGTTCCTCATCATTATGAGTTATCATAAATCAACCGTGAAATTACCTATCCTCGTTCCTGAAAGTGCATTTGCGTATGTTACACCTCAACACCTGTCTTGACACTATGACATGGTGTGGCTCATCACTCAGAACTAACACAAAAGAACGATCCAACAGCATTGGTTCAAAATGAGAAATCAATCTTACAGTGGTAATTCATTTGAAACGAGCGCTGTAATGAACAAAAACATGACCAATTACGCCCCAGCTCATAGTAAAGACAGCCTATAGCTCATCAGCGACAACCGGCTCCGTCTCCGTTTGCTCAATCACCTCCTGGGCACCCTCCTCCACCTTCTCAATCATAACCGCCTCCTCCTTGACAGCCTCAGTAGAGACGGCAAAGTCCTCCGCAATCAGCTTGGCAACATTCTTGCCCATAAGCGCGCTGGTCTCCATGCAAGAGATGAAGCTCTCCATGCCGGAGAGGTAGTACAGGCCGTCTCTCAGGATGGGGTCCTGGAACGTGACGCGGGGATACTCGATGGGGTAGGAGTGGAAGACGTGAGGGTGGTACCACGAAATGGGGTCGACGGCCTCGGTCTTGTCCTTGGAGACGATGGTTTCGGGGACCTTTACTCCGAGAAGCTGCGAGAGGAACTCGGCGGTGACCTGCTTAGGAGAGAAGATCTTGTAAATGAACTCGTCCTTGAGGGTTTCCGGGTTCGTGGCCGTCCTCAGGGTGCTGATGGAGTAGAAGCCGGCCTTGCCGGCACCCTCAGCTCCGGCCTTGGCCTCGTCGGCAGGGTTGAGAGTCGTGAGGACCGTGTCGGGCGCCTTGGACCCGGGCTCCATGCCAAAGTACTCGGGGGACAGACGGAATGGAGAAGCGAACAGCGTGACATGGAGCTTGACGTAAGGAATCTCGTCAATCTTGTGTTGGAACAAGTCCTCAGCAACGCTGATGTCGCTGTATTGCCAAGGGGTGGCAATGACGACGTTGTCGAAGGCGACGGGGTATTGATCCGCCTCGACACCAGCATCTGCGTGAGAGTCCTTGGCCGAAATAAAGTACTTGGAGCTTGTAGGGCCAGTCTTGACCTCCATGGAGGTTACGGTAGTGTTGCGGTTCACAGTCGCGTTAGTCTTCTGCAGCATGGTGTCGAAGATTTGCCAGTTGCCGCCAATGACTTGCTTGGCGCCCTCAGGCGCCATGGATACCATGGTCTCCAGACCATGGATGTACTTCAGGTTGGAAGCATAGTTGACGCGAGTTGCAGCTTGGATAATGTGGTCAGAGAACAGCTCGCCAATCTACATCAGGTGAGCGAGCGATCTAGTCTGACGCGTGTGGTGACTTACATCATTGTTGGCGAGGAACTCCTTTCCAGTAACTGAAGTCGCCTTCAGAAGGTCCAGCTCGAACGCCCTTTGGGTCAGAGAGCGGAACGGGAAGTGAGGCGCCTCATACAATTGCAGGAAGGTATCAACGGTAGACTGGACGAGCTTCTGCGCCTTGTAGGGAGCCAAGCCGTACTTCCAAAAGAGCTTGGCTAGGTTCCACCACTGCCAGGAGCTGTCGTCCTGGGTGTACACAAACTGCTCGCCATCCCAAATGCCCAGGAAGCCGTCACTGCCGGACTCGGGCTCCTTGAGGGGAAGGCCGAACCGCCTGCTAGCATTGTAGAGAATCTGGTTGGCCTCGATGAAGATGGACGCGCCCAGCTCGACTTGCTCAAGCGGGTTATCGTAAGCTTCAACCGTCAAAGTCCGACCGCCGATGTGGTTGGTCTTCTCAAACACGGTGATGTTCACTTCAATGCCGTCTGCCTCGGCATACTGTTGCAGGTAGTAAGCGGCAGCAGAGCCACCCGCGCCAGCTCCTGGATGAGGATTAGTCGCTACATTCTACAAATAATCCCAATACTGTTGAGGCCGGCGGTGCCTACGAACCAATAATGGCGACTTGCTTGACACTGCTGTCAAAGGCGACGATCTCGACTTCTGTCTCGGTCGCGGGCACGCCAGTTCCCGTCATGCTGAGCGCGGAGAGCACAGCTGAGAGCTTGGACCCCCACATGATGTATTGTCGGATTATCAGGCAATCTCAAGCTTTAGAAGGATTATATGAAACAGCAAAAGCAAAGAGTGATGAAGAATTGAAGAGAGATAGATGCGAGATTTCAATACATGTTTTTGGGGGATGAAGAGGATGAAAGGGGGAGCATGAATGAGATTCGTAATTCGTACTGCCCGGGAGGTCCCCCAAATGAATTAAACTCTGGGTGAGTAAACAAACCGCCGCTTTATTGGTGTTACTCCTGTGGCTCTGCTCCCTGCCGGACCGGGGTGATGCGTGTTCAGGGGAAGCGGAGGTCGATATGGGGCATCTTTCCGTACAAGAACAGAACAATTCGTGAGTTACCCTTCACCGACGATTTACCAGACGGACTTGGTTTGACAGAGCTGTGCCTCTGAGAAAGGCTGACCTGGCGATGAAGCTCTTCCAAGCTCCTGATAAAGCAGCGGCTCATAGCTTAGTGGTAGAGAGAGTAGAGGTTTCACTCGGGTGGTACCCCAAGACCCCCAAAGTCCCTGCTCCCGCCTGCCGTGCTGCAGTAGCTATCGGCCACCCACTAACGACGCACAGACCATAGAACATGCCGTCAGTCTCTGCTGACACATGTAGACTCCTTTAGATGCATGTCCCTCAAAGATCGATTGGGTATATGCAGCTAAGAAGAAGTCGCGCCAACGAGAAAGCACTCAGGCACCGAGCCAGCACCTTCCACCGCTAGCTGACCGCCTGCCACCTCAAGGCAGAAAAAAAGTCACCACCAGAGTCCCGCATCTGAAGCTCCCCGGACCAGGCCAGGTCAACTCTCGAGAACACTCCACGTCAGGTCGCTAATCCAATAACCTCACCGATCGATACCCCCCTCACGAGCCTCTCGACGACCTCCAGCCATCATGTCTGCGGCCCAACTGCTCAACCCCAAGGCCGAATCCAGGGTGCGCATTGCCCTTTTTCTGCCGGGCCTTGTTTGTGTTGCTAATCAGCCAAGTAGCGGCGGGGTGAAGCCCTGAAGGTCAACATCAGCGCTGGTGAAGGCCTGCAGGATGTCCTCAAGTCCAACCTCGGCCCTCTGGGCACCATCAAGATGTACGACACCAAAGAGTCTTTCTTGTTGCTATAATGTTTGCTAATGTCTCCCAGGCTTGTTGACGGTTCCGGCCAAGTGCGACATACCGCCCCTCCTTACCCCTGGACCGCTGCTAATGCGCGCCGAACAGATCAAGTTGACAAAAGATGGAAACGTTCTCCTCAGGGAGATGCAAATACAGAACCCCACCGCCGTCATGATTGCGCGAGCTGCGACTGCCCAGGACGATATCTGTGGTGATGGTACGACGTCGGCCGTTTTGTTGATCGGTGAGCTTCTGAAGCAGGCGGATCGCTACATCTCGGAAGGACTGCACCCTAGAATTATCACGGATGGTTTCGAGATTGCAAAGAACGAGGCTTTGAAGGTGCGTCTTCTGCAGATGGTACGAAGTAAAGAACGTGGAACTGACTGGATACACAGTTCCTCGATGGCTTCAAGCTCGCCAAGGAGGTCGACCGCGAGTTGCTCCTTTCCGTCGCCCGCACATCGCTGTCTACGAAGCTCAACTCCAGCCTCGCTGCCAAGCTCACCCCCGATATCGTCGACGCCGTGCTCGCCATCTACCAGGCCCCCGCCAAGCCCGACTTGCACATGGTTGAGATTATGAAGATGCAGCACCGCACCGCCTCGGACACCCAGCTTATCAAGGGCCTGGCTCTGGACCACGGCGCCCGCCACCCCGACATGCCGAAGCGCGTCGAGAACGCCTACATCCTGACGATGAACGTGAGCTTGGAGTACGAGAAGACCGAGATCAACTCTGGATTCTTCTATTCCAGCGCGGAGCAAAGGGACAAGCTGGTGGAGAGCGAGCGCCGATTCGTCGACGCCAAACTGAAGAAGATTGTCGAACTCAAGAAGGAGGTTTGCGGAAACGACCCCAACAAGAACTTTGTTATCGTCAACCAGAAGGGTATCGACCCCCTGTCTCTGGACGTCCTGGCCAAGAACGGCATCCTCGCCCTGCGTCGCGCCAAGAGGAGAAACATGGAGAGACTGCAGCTCATTTGCGGTGGTGTTGCACAGAACAGTGTCGAGGACCTGTCACCCGATGTCCTCGGATGGGCCGGTCTCGTCTACGAGCAGACCTTGGGCGAGGAGAAGTACACCTTTATCGAGGAGGTCAAGGACCCCAAGTCCGTCACCCTTCTCATCAAGGGCCCCAACGCACACACCATTACCCAGGTTACCGATGCCGTCCGTGACGGTCTGCGCAGCGTCTACAACATGATTGTTGACAAGAGCGTTGTACCCGGTGCAGGCGCTTTCCAGGTGGCCTGCGCGGCGCACCTGAAGAGCGATGCCTTCTCCAAGACGGTGAAGGGCAAGGCTAAGTGGGGTGTTGAGGCATTCGCCGATGCCCTGCTCATCATTCCCAAGACCCTGGCTGCCAACGCTGGTCTCGACATCCAGGATGCCCGTAAGTATTTTTGTCTGTCTGTTATTACGCTTTAACTAACACATTGCAGTTGCTGCCATGCAAGATGAGCACGCTGATGGTAACGTTGTGGGCTTGGACCTCGCAACGGGTGAGCCGATGGACCCCGAGCTTGAGGGAATCTTCGACTCTTTCAGGGTGCTGAGAAACTGCATCGCCTCCAGCTCCAGCATTGCCTCCAACCTACTGCTGTGCGACGAGTTGCTGAAGGCGAGACAGATGGGCAGACAAGGCGGCCCAGGCCCCGGTATGGACGGACCTGAGGAGTAATGGGTTTACCGGATTTTCGTTGTAAAGTATTGGCACGGTAGACAAAAGGCGTTGCTCTTAGACCTGTCAAAAGCTGAGAACTGGAATGATATCCATTTACGAACAAGCCATGAGAATTTTAGCGTGCAATGCCTCCTTTAATCGTTGAACTGATCCGCGAGTGAGACAGCTAGCTTAGGACGTTGTTGACCCCTCGCCCGCTACAGGTGCGATAAGATAAGCCCCGCATCGAACATTTTCGACGGCCAAAAATTCTTGACCCCACGTACGGCAGCAGCCCAACCCAGCAGACCAAAAGTCACATACACAGGCAAAGGAAAAAAGATGGCAGACTACGACAGCGATTCCTCGCAGGAGGAATTCACCGAGACCAATGTTCTACTCGGATACGCCACGAGCGATGCTGACGAAGATACCATCAGTCGCCTGGGCGGACGCCCCGTAAGTCCTAATCGCAAACCCTCTGATGCCCCTCCAAAAAGCACATCTCAAACTGACACTGCTTCTTCCACAGGAATGGCTGAACCCAGAGAAACCCGCCTCCGCAGCCCTTGCGCGCTGCAAGGTCTGTAACGACATCATGGTCCAGCTTCTCCAGCTCAACGGCGAGCTGCCCGAAAAGTTCCCCGGCCACGAGCGCCGCCTCTACGTCTTCGCCTGCCGCAAGCCCACCTGCCGCCGCAAACAGGGCAGCATCCGCGCCATCAGGGGCGTCAGGATATCAAAGGATGCACCCGCCATCGCCGCCAAGAAGGCCGCCCCCGCTCAGAAGGAGGCCCCGCGGAAGGAGGAAGAAGAGCCCAAGAAGGAGGCCGGCCCGGGCCTCGGCAGCGCGCTGTTTGGCGGAAGCGCCGGTGGCTCTGCCGGAGCGAACCCCTTCGCCAGCAGCGCGAACCCCTTCAGCACGGGCTCGTCCAGCAGCAGCCCGTTCAGCACCGCCGCGCCGGCGTCCAACCCCTTCTCCAAGCCCGCCGAGACGAAGAAGCCCGCAGACGCGGCCGCAGACGACCTCCCCAAGACCTTCGCCGAGACGCTCTCCCTGAACAACCCGCAAACGCCGTCGGGCCCGCCGCCGGCCCCGGAGCCCTGGCCCGAGGCCGCCGCGCAGCCGAAGCCGTACCGCCTGTCGTACCTCGCGGACGCGGAGTTCGAGACGCTCGACCCGGAGCCGGCGGCGATCCCGCAGAACGCGCGGATGGAGGTCGACACGGACGGGCCGGGCGGCAGCAGCGGCGCGATGGACACCAAGGACGTGTTCGAGTCGTCGATGGACGCGGTGTTCCAGAAGTTCGCGGACCGCATGGCGCAGAACCCGGAGCAGGCGATCCGGTACGAGTTCGGCGGCGCCCCGCTGCTGTACTCCAAGGCGGACGCCGTGGGGAAGGCGCTGACGGCGAGCGGGGGCCGGATGCCGCGGTGCGGGAACTGCGGCGCGGGCAGGGTGTTTGAGGTGCAGATGACGCCGAACGCGATCGCGGAGCTGGAGGCGGAGGAGGTCTCGCTGGAGGGCATGGATTGGGGTACCGTTATTGTCGGGGTGTGCGAGGCGGATTGTCAGGAGAGGGGGGTTGAGGCGGGCGAGGCGGGGTATCTTGAGGAGTGGTGTGGTGTGCAGTGGGAGGAGCTCGCGAAGCGATGAGTGTTTGGTTTGAGGCGTGATGTAACACAACGGGGGATGGGAAAAAGCATTGTTTATAGACACGTGGCAATGAACAACATCATACGACACTCTTAGACAGATCTTCTTTGTGGCATGTCTCATATTCGGGGATATCCTCTATGGCTCTCCCAATTCCAAAGTCACAATGAACGCCGGTAATTTTGCCGCCATGCTTCTCTCCCAGCCCTGAACTCCATTAACGGAGCCGTCAAGCAGCCAAGGGTACCTCTCTTCTTCTCGCTTTCTCTCCTTGAGAAAACAGAGTTGATTCATCCTCTCACCCACAACATCCAGAACTGTTGGCCCTCAAACCTTTTTTGTTCTTCTTAAGCCGTCTCCTCCCATGATCTGCGGAGAACCCTCGAGAACATGTCAACGTTGACGTCCTCCCTGATCTCGGCCTTCTTGGCCTCGTTCTCGGCGTTGCGGGGGATGGAGACAATGCCGTTGTCACCGACGGTCCAGCCGGCGACCTCGGAGGCGAACTTGGCGGTGGCGTCGGCGCTGAGTCCGAGCCAGGACTCGAGCTGGGAGAGGGAGACCTCGCGGAAGGCCTGGGAGACCTGGCCGGCGATGTTTGCGCGGATGAGGTCCTCGAAGCCGGAGATGTCGGCGATGAGGTCTGCGCAGAGGTCGTCGCCGTCGATGGTGTTCCAGAAGCGGGCGTACTGGGCGCCCTCGAGCTGGGAGTTGAGGGTGCGCAGCTTGGTGACGGCCTCGTGGAGCTCGCCCTGGGCGGCGGCGGAGGCGTTGATGAGGTGGAGGGCCAGGGTGAACTGGGGGGAGGGGAACTGGGTCATGGCCTTGACGAGGATGTTGGTGACGACCTCGTCCTTGATGCGGTCGGGGTTGAGCTGGTACCTGTCGGCGGAGAGAAGAGGAACTTTGTTAGCCGATGGTCGTATTCGAAAAGGTGCTGTTGAAGATGAAGGTTGTTTTCCGGTGTTCGTTCAGGTATCACCACGGTTTGACTTCATTTGCGACGTTTGGTCGGTTCATGACGGAAGCCGGACCGGCGCAATGTCAGGTAATAGGAAACGTTTATGGTCATCATGTAAACCGGCGCAAGACCAACAAGATTGGGCAAGAGTAGAAGAGACTTGGTTGTTTCGGTTCGGAGGCTAAAAGGGGGCCAACGACAACGAGGACAGGCAAAGGAAGCAAACTCACAGCTTCAGGAGTGTGCGGTTGGCATTGCAGTCGCTGGTCTTCTGCTCGCACTGCTCCTGGAGGTACGCCTCAAGGGTGACGACGGCCTCGGGGTTGTAACGCTCAAGGCCATTGATGATGTTGACAATGTAGTCGGGCCGCTCGGGCGGATCTTCGCCGTTCAACATGGCTGCTGGTTCTGAAGGGGGGGAGATGTGGTTGTGGTGGGCGGGGGGTATCACGGGGGTGTGAGGTGTAGGTCGAGGTCGGATTCGAGGTTCGTTCACGACGTGGAGGGGGGGCGGGCTTCGTGAGAGAAAACCGCCTTGGTGGGGCTGCACTCTTTTTCGCTGTGGTTTGGCTGGCCACACACACGCGCGCGCACACAGCAGCGGCAGGGAAAGATTTCTCAAGTTGTGTGAAAGTCGCTTGATGGAAGGGGCTTAGCGCCGGCGACGGAAAAGGGGTACCGCCGGTGTCCTCACCTTTGGAGACCCACTTGTGCCTGATGACTAAGACGTCTATCGGGAGCTCGGGCCTTCTGTGTTTGGATGGCTGGTGCAGCGTCATTGACTGAGGCGCTGGACGTGCAGGGGACGAGGACGGAGCTGTTGTAAATGCCGGCCCCAAAGTGACTTGTTTATCGACATGAAGTGACGCCGTTACCGATTCTTTATTTATTACTCAATACCATACCCGAGCCACGTCATTCGTTACTTCAAACGGTATGATCTTTGCAACGGCTTTTCCCTGTTGAAACCGCCGCCATGCCCAGCCCATCCAAGAAGCGGAAGCTCAACGACCAATCCTCATCCGGAGTGCCGTCGAGGGGACTAGAGTACTTCTTTTCAAAACAGAGGCAGAATGGCAGCGCAACGCCTAAAGAAACACCAAAGGATACACCAGAGGCCACGCCGAACAGCCACTCAGTGAATGGGGAGAATTCGGAGTTGACGGATGAGGAGCTTGCACGGAAATTGCAAGCCGAGTGGGATGCTGAAGTCCAGAATGAGAGAGCTGCCTCGACGCCATGTCCTGAGCCTGCAAAAGAGTCTACTCCAGTAGAGGCATCTAAAGCTCAGGAAGTAACATCAGCTGTCGCCGAACCGTCCAAGCCAGCTGTCGTGCTACCTCAGGCGCCCAAGAAGAACACTCTGTCACTGTCTTCGGTGGCCAACGCGGAAGACACCGCATCAGCGACGATTCCCCTAGATCAAAGTCCACTGACATTTGACCCATCAGAGTTTACCCCTCAGCTCAAGGAGCAGTGGGCATCTGAAGGAGGCCATGCGTCTTACGCATTCCTGACAAGATGCTTCGTATTAGTGAACGGCACGCAAAGCCGGATTAAGATCGTCGACACCTTGGTCAACTCTATCCGGGTTCTGATCGAAGCAGATCCAGACAGTCTTCTTCCGGCAGTTTGGCTAGCGACAAATGCCATTTCACCTCCTTACATTTCCTTGGAATTGGGTCTGGGTGGGTCGGCGATATCTAAGGCACTGAAGCAGGTATGCGGCTTAGACGGTCGGGCCTTGAAGACAATATACGACAAGTATGGCGACGCGGGCGATGTGGCGTTTGAGGCGAAGAAGAAACAAAGTTTCACACTGCGTAAGCCAAAGCCGTTAACAATCCAGGCTGTCTACCAGTCCTTGGTCAAGATCGCAAATAGCCAAGGGCAGGGCAGTGGTGAGGCCAAGCAGAGAATCGTTGATCGATTGCTTCAAGATGCGCGAGGCGGAGAAGAGAGCAGATACATTGTGCGGACCCTGTGCCAGCATGTGAGTAAAATCTTTCTTCATCAACGTTCCCGAAACTAACACGACCCACAGCTGCGAATTGGCGCTGTCAAGACGACTATGCTGATCGCCCTTTCAAGAGCTTTCCTGCTCTCGCGTCCGGCAGGAGCAGAGTTTCCTCTGCGGTCAGCAAAAGACTTGCAGAAACTGAAAAAGGATGAGTTGGCCGAGGTATGGAGCAAGGCAGAAGAAATCGTCAAAGCATGCTTCGCGCGACGACCCAATTACAACGACCTCGTCCCGGTTTTGCTGGAGATTGGCGTCTGTGACGAACTTCTGATACGCTGCGGATTAACACTGCACATTCCTTTACGACCCATGTTGGGCAGCATCACTAGAGACCTCTCGGAAATGCTCACCAAGCTGCAAGGGAGAGACTTCGCATGCGAGTTCAAGTATGATGGCCAGCGCGCACAAATTCATTGCGATGAGAAGGGGAAGGTGACCATCTTTTCGCGGCACCTAGAACTCATGACCGACAAATACCCCGACTTGGTCGCGTTGATGCCCAAGATCCGCGGCGAAGGGGTAGACAGCTTCATCATGGAGGGTGAAGTTGTGGCGGTGGATAGAGAAACTGGAGACTTGAAAAACTTCCAGACACTCACGAACCGGGCTCGCAAAGATGTCGCGATTGGTAGCATCCAGGTCGATGTGTGCATGTTTGCGTTCGACCTCATGTTCCTGAACGGGCAGCCCCTGCTGGACAGACCATTCCGGGAGAGGAGAGAGCTTCTCCGCTCTATGTTCATCGAGGTTCCACACCAGTTCACTTGGGTCAAGAATTTGGATGCTACATCGCAGGATTCCGACGCCGTCCTAGATTTCTTCAAACAAGCGACAGACATCAAATGCGAGGGCATCATGGTCAAGATCCTGGATAACCTGACAGACATCCCGTATCAAGGCGACGATGCTGCCGAAGCCGATGGAGAGACAGTCGAAGAAACCAAAGCGCCCTCCAAAACGAAGCGAGGGAAGGGCACCAAGGACGAAGAAGCCCCCAAGAAAAAGGGCCGTCGCAAGCCCCTGCTCGCAACGTACGAACCCGACAAGCGCCTCGACTCGTGGCTCAAGGTCAAGAAGGACTACAGTTCGAGCTTCGACACGCTCGACATGATCCCCGTCGCGGGCTGGCACGGCCAGGGGCGCAAGGCCAAGTGGTGGTCGCCCATCCTCATGGCCGTGCGTAACGAGGACACGGGGTCCCTCGAGGTGGTGTGCAAGTGCATGTCGGGCTTCACGGACGCCTTCTACAAGGCGAACCGGGACTTTTACGACGACGGCGAGGCGACGGGGGAGGGGCGCAACACGCGGGGGCAGAAGCCCGCGTTCGTGGAGTACTCTGGCCCGGAGCCGGATGTCTGGTTTGAGCCCCAGGAGGTATGGGAGATGGCGTTTGCGGATGTGACGTTGAGCCCAACGTACACAGCTGCTATTGGGCTGGTGAGCGAGGACCGCGGATTGAGTCTGCGTTTTCCGAGGTTTTTGAAGAAGAGAGAGGACAAGGGGCTCGAGGAGGCGAGCACGAATGAGTTTCTGGCTGGGTTGTGGAGGAAGCAGGAGGCGAAGGCGCCTGTGAAGGAGGGTGCTGTGGCGGGAGATGAAGATGAGGAATGAAGAAGTTATTGGGCGATATTGTAAGCATTTGAAGTTGAAGATACCAATATCAGATATGTCAAAGACAAAATACGGTTATTGGAGGGGATCGTCGGAGCTGGCTTGTCGACTTCCGAGTGTTCGGAGATAACTCGTTGTACCTCCCACACTGGCTTGCAGTCAATCATCGCTTGACCACACCCACCCAGCAGTTTAGCCAAGATCACTTGGGTAAAAAGATGACGCAGGTCTTCTGCCCGCGTGGAGCTTCCTGAAAGGGCCCTGATTGCCGGACGTGTTGACGGATAAAACGATGGCCATGGGAATGGATATGCAACCGCCCGTTTTATTTGGAGACAACACCCATCCCACCTGAGCCGACCAACAATATGACGACCACCGATGGAGAGCAGATTCAGCCGGAGACGTACTTGGTGAAGCGCACGGAACACTGTCCCAACAGTGATTTTCCTGTGCTTGTGTATCGTGGAGTGCTGGGCACTGACGACGAGCTGGATGAAGATGAGGTATCAGAGAAGTTGCAGCAGTACGGATGGGTGAAGAAAGTCAGTCATCTAGATCTTCTACTTATCTACCTTCAATTAACGAGGTGTTTGTCTTGCGCAGGGGACTTGGGGAACGATCACGTTGAAACATTTCCATCCCAACACTCACGAATGTTACGGTAACTATTCATCATTCTATCCAGACACATTCAAAGTTTCTCTCACTGAGTTACATCCAGGCATCTTCCAAGGTCGTTCTGAGCTCGTCTTCGGCGAGGGCGGCTCTGATCCTGCTGGCAGCGGCGTGCGGTGCTGGGTGCGACCCGGCGATGTTGTTGTCGTTCCGGCCGGTGTGGCGCATGCTTCCGTCACTGACGAAAAGGCGGCACCAGGGGAAAAGGAGTACCGGTATGTTGGAGTGTATCCTGAGGAATCTCCGCAGTGGCGGAGTGAGATGGGGAGGAAACCATTACAGGAGAAGCAGGGTCTAGTCGAGGAGGTCGAAGGGGTGGGTTTACCGAGGATGGATCCTTTGTATGGAGTCGATGGGCCGTTGATAAAGATATGGAAGGCTGCGAAGGGTTAAGATTTGAATCGTACATTGTCTAGCTTCAATTTGAAAAGCGGGATTCATGTTCGGCATTGAACCCTTTTCTGATTATTGGGTTTACGAGACATGATTTTTGACGAATAATTTACTTCAAGGGAAGAATAATTCTGACCAAGATCAAGCGTTCTGATTGCCATGTTGGGGTCGAAACTGTGCTTGTGAATGGGAAACAAACGTGGTATGCGTAGGCGCTTCATGTCTGTAGACCTGAAAGGCTTAGAATGCATTCGGATGCTTGAGTAATTAAAGTAGTCATTATTCATGCTGCTTTCCACAGCTCATAACTTCATGCTGCGAATAGTCCTTGTGAGCGGCGACTTTGAACAAACCCTTGTGGTTTGTTCAAAGCAAACAGTCTACATGGCTGTCTTATGATCCGACCTTTGGCCGTCATTCAGTCAGGTCGGCCAGCTGCTGCCATTGCAGGCCTGCATCGCCAGGTGCTAGAAAAGCTCCTGCTGATCCGAACGTGAGAGATGCCAAGACCTGTTCGTGCAAAAGATAACCAGAGTGGATCCTGATGGATCGTCGACTCTGAGTGTGTCGGTGCCGTTCTCGCTGGACGTCGCAGGGGGGATTCCATCCAAGCCTATGCGTCCATCGGGTGCAAACGCCAACGCCAAGGTTCTCGGCATGCCTGTCCTGGATATAAGAACGTTTTGTGGCTACACCTGTTCTCATTTGGTTGCGTTCATTCTCTGAGCTATCAGACTGAAGATAGCTACCGAGCTCATGAAGAGCACGGCGTTATAGAACTGTAAATAAACTGTGAGTTGAGTACCGCCACATCTTCTTGTCGATAAACTTACGGCTTTCCTCGATACTTCTCGTTCTTCATCATCGGATCTTGCCTCGATGAAGAGCCGGCGAAGATTGGGTAATGTTGCCTTGACGACCTTTGTCAAAAACACAACAGTCAAGAGCTTCGAGGCTGTGACTTACCATGGTGATCCTGGTTGTTTACTTTGAGGTGAAGAGGGGTTAGGATTATCGGGTCAACGAAGCCGCCAGATCGAGATTAAAATCTATAGATCGCTTGCTATTCCCAAATAGTGTGATTTGTCTCTTGAGTATCAGAAAATAATCGAGACTCTGGTGATGAGAAAGTGCAGGAGGGACTGATGTAATAGCACCAAGAAAGCAGGTACCTTGGTGTCTCTGACGACGAGCGACCCGATACATGCATGCAGCTAAAGTGGGGGTTTCCAGGGGTGAGGTCCATTCACTTAGCGGGAAGGCGGCGCCTCAGCCAGGCATTGCCAGACTGCCAGGCTGGCCAGGCCGGGATTAAGGTTACGCTTGCCTGCGCAGTAGGGGGGCATTCCACTGACAGGTACTTCTTCGACCACCTCATCTTCTTGGCGAATTCCGACTAGGTGCACTCGCTGCATCTCCCGAAAACATTGACGACACAAAGAAAGCACCCGCCTGTCACATCACCGACGGTTTCGTGTCGGATGAGCTTGTCCAGGTCCTGATCGGACTGGCCACCTCTCCCACTCCCCCGACCCGCTCCTGACGCGAGTTCACCGTTCCATCTTCCGTCCTACCACCGCACCCATCGAGCCCCTCGACGACACGCAACACATCCAGCACCATGGCGGTCAATCGCATTCGTGGAGCCTTTGCTCCCCCGAGGAAGGGAGAGACTTTCGAGCTGCGAGCAGGTCTTGTCTCTCAGTATGCCTACGAGCGCAAGGAGTCCATTCAGAAGACCATCATGGCGATGACGTTGGGCAAGGATGTCTCAGCTTTGTTCCCCGACGTTCTGAAGAACATTGCGACTGGAGATCTGGATCAGAAGAAGCTCGTCTATCTATACCTCATGTGAGTTTCCGCGGGGTCGGTCGCTATCACCAGCGACGACTGTGTCAAAGCAAGTTGCTGACAGGGGCCAAAGGAACTACGCAAAGTCGCACCCCGACCTCTGCATTCTTGCCGTCAATACCTTTGTTCAGGATTCCGAAGACCCAAATCCACTCATCCGTGCATTAGCGATCCGAACGATGGGATGTATCAGAGTCGATAAGATGGTGGATTACATGGAGGAACCGCTGCGGAAAACGCTACGAGACGAGTCGCCATACGTTCGCAAGACAGCCGCCATTTGCGTGGCGAAGCTTTTCGACTTGAACCCGACCATGTGTATAGAAAACGGCTTCTTGGAGTCCTTGCAGGAACTCATCGGCGACCCGAACCCCATGGTCGTCGCAAACTCGGTTCAGGCCCTCTCAGAAATCACCGAAACCGCCCCAGAGACGAGAGCCCTCGTGGTGACCCCAGCAACGCTCAAGAAGCTCTTGATGGCTCTGAATGAGTGCACAGAATGGGGACGCGTCACGATCTTGACCACGCTGGCCGATTACCCCGCGGTGGACGTTAAGGAGTCCGAGCACATTTGCGAGAGAGTAGCACCCCAGTTCCAGCACGTCAACCCTAGTGTCGTTTTGGCTGCTGTCAAGGTCGTCTTTATCCACATGAAGGCGATCAACCCCGAGCTGGTGCGGGCGTATCTCAAGAAGATGGCGCCTCCCCTGGTTACGCTTGTCGCCTCCGCTCCCGAAGTTCAGTACGTCGCTCTGCGCAACATCGACCTCCTTCTCCAGGCCAAGCCCGACATTCTTAGCAAGGAGCTGCGTGTTTTCTTCTGTAAATATAACGACCCCCCCTATGTCAAGCTTCAGAAGCTCGAGATCATGGTCCGGATAGCCAACGACAAGAACTTTGATCAGCTTCTCGCAGAGTTGAAGGAGTATGCGCTGGAAGTCGACATGGACTTCGTCAAGCGCGCAGTCAAGGCGATTGGACAGGTCGCGATCAAGATTGAGAGCGCCAGCCAGAAGTGCGTCAATGCGCTGCTGGATCTGATTGCCACCAAGGTCAACTATGTTGTGCAGGAGGTCGTGGTTGTCATTAAGGATATTCTGCGTAAATATCCCGGCTACGAAGGCGTCATTCCTACGCTATGCCAGCACATTGATGAACTCGACGAGCCTACCGCGAGAGGATCGCTTATTTGGATCGTCGGTGAGTACGCGGAGAAGATTAACAATGCGGATGAGATTCTTGAGAGCTTCGTAGACGGCTTCATGGAGGAATTCACACAGGTTTGTCCTTCCTCCCTCTACATGTTGATTCCAGCGCTAACTACAGAAGACCCAACTTCAAATTCTCACAGCAGTTGTCAAGCTCTTCCTGAAGAAGCCTGGCAACACACAAGGCCTTGTACAGAAGGTACTGCAGTCGGCAACAACCGATAACGACAACCCCGATATCCGCGACAGAGCTTATGTCTACTGGCGTCTATTGTCGGGTGACTTGGACGTCGCCAAGAACATCATTCTCTCACAAAAGCCGGCCATCTCCACAACAATGACCAGTCTTCCCCCTGCCCTCTTGGAGCAGCTGCTGGCAGAGCTTTCCACTCTTGCATCTGTATACCACAAGCCTCCGGAATCATTCGTCGGCAAGGGTCGTTTCGGAGCGGACGAGATCCAGCGGGCGGCCATCCGCGAACAACGGCAGGAGGCAGCCGAGAACCCTATCGCCGCGTCGGTGGCGGCAGCTGCCAACGGCAACCCTCCGCCACAAAACAACATCGAAAACCTGCTCGACATCGACTTCGACGGTGCTGCTCCTGCGTCTGCTGAGCAGAACAGCAATGTCAACACTCCAGACAGAGTTGCGAGCCCTTCGGGTGGCGCGCCATCAAGCGCCATGGCTGATATGATGGGTCTGTTCGATGCCCCGCCGCCGCAGCAGCAACAAGCAGCCGCGAACCCCATGAGCCCTGGAGCCGCAGGAGGTGGCGGCATGAATGATTTGATGAATGGATTCTCCGGCCTTGACTTTGGCAACACGGGATCAGGCCAGCCCCTGCCGGCGGCCATGCAGTTGAACCAGACCCAGAACCCACCCGCACAACCAAGTGAAGGCAACGGAAAGAAGACGAATGAGGATTTGCTGGGGTTGTTTTAGATGTAGGACTAATGGGGGCTGTTTCGTCCGGAGTCCAGGCATGCTGTTTGGAGCAGCAAGTTTCAAATAGGTTGATATATGACAAAGAACGAAGCCACGAAAAAGCCTGCTTCCTTTTTTCAACTTTTCATTGACATTTCCCGCAAACCAAAACGTATATACTCGAAAAAATGGGTGTCTTGGTCCAAACACCTATCGCGCCGTCCGAGAGATCCTGATGATGTCCACCGTTTCATGATATCCGAACCTCATGCCGCATCGTCAAATATGCCATGTTTCTTCCACACAACCCGTAGACCGTGGAGAAGTGAAAGAAGGGGCTGGGTATGTATTTAAAGAAAAACGTTCCTCCCTTTCCCATTACTGCGCAACGCCCTCCACCCGTCCGCCGACCGTGCCGTCCAGAGGGGGGCCGTCAGCGGCGGCGGCGGCGCGGTCGCGCTCCCACTCGGCGGGGGTCTGGCACTTTGCGCTCCAGGCGTGGATGCGGGCGATCTCGTCCTTGAGGGCGGCGTTGACGAGGCGGTGGCGCTTGAGGGATGTTTGCTTCTCGAAGGCGGGGGAGACGATTAGCGAGGTGAAGGATTGGCCGCAGCCGCCTGGGTGAGGAGAGAGAGAAGAGGTCAGCTATTGCGTCGCAGGTCATGTTGGGAGGAGGTTGCGCGGATCGCGGAAGCGGCACCGGCGCCGGCGCCGGCGGGGTATGACGTTTTTGGTGTCGTGGAAGGGTGGAGGGGTGGTTTCGCGTACCGGACATGTCTGTGACTTCGACGTGGACGGCCTGCAGGCGCTGGGCGAGGGCGTCGCGCAGGGAGGACTCCGTTATTTGGTCGGCCATTGTCTCTGTTTCGAGGATTGTGTTTGTTGTGTTTTTTGGCGGCGGAGAGGGAAGGAGGAGGGGGAGTGAGGCACCGATGATGGGTTAGGTTAGGTTGGGGAAGGTGAGGGAATGGTTGTCGAAAACGTGAGGTGCTGGGGATGTTTCGGTGATTAGATTGATAAGATGGTGGGGTTTTCCTATCGGGCTCTGGACTGAGGTGCAGCTGTGAGTGCTGTCAGCGCCTGGCCTGTCGGGTGGGTTCCACCGCGGCGGTCTGGCTCGGTGGCTTGGGCCGTGCGGGTTGGATTTGGGGGTACGTATTTTCGGTGTTGCCCCGAGATGTTTTCTCGTGACAGGGGGTGTGCTCTGTTTGCACGACATCCGATGCTTGGGAAGTTAATATTTCTGCGCTGAATAATATTTCAAGGCTGGGGGCATTTGCGGAAGGTGCTAGTTCACCTTGAGCAATAGTCTCCAAAGCTTTGGACGGCTCCAGTTCTCTCAACCGCTTCGAACGCCTATATCAGGGTACGGGACCCGAGATGATCACCTTGAAGTCCTCGCTCCAGAAGATCTCTTCGAGCGTCGTGATCCGCTGAGAATGGAGACCTTTGGCTCGCATTCACGTCTGATTCGGCTCTCCAGCATGGTTCATCATGACTTGTTCAAATGTTTGCGTTCTTGAAGAAGACGCTTCTTCGCCTGGACGGTGTAAGCGACACCCGTCCCGATGCCATTGATGGAGATTGGCCGTGGCCGTGATCAAAGTATGAAAGACCGCGGCAAGGTCGTAATCTCGGATGTGTAAATACATCCAACAGGGTGTCAAAATAATTTTTCTTCTTCCGATGCTGGGAGGGAGGGCTTGCCGTTTTCGTTTGCAGCCCAGCTCTCATTTCCGTTGGAACCGCCCGTTGAATTGATTGCCATCCCGCCGACCGAGCTGACAATTTAGACATCTACAAGCATGCAGCGTCAGTCTGCCATCGAATGCCAGGACACCTCGAAGAAAATATGGGCGGCGGTACTGCTAGGCGTGCCTCACATCAGGTGTCTTCTGCCTCGACATGCTGCCCCATGTAGGTTCTATGCCTGACGATGAATGGCTTGGAAGGCGATCGCGGCACACGACTGTTGGCATTAGGCACGAGATGGTCACCTCGGTTGCTAGCATGACTGGTGGGATGGGGAGCTTGGAAACAGCTACAACCATACGGTGTAAAGCCCATCCTGATGCTCGAGTCTCATTGACGATCACAGCAAGGGCTAATCCCGTCACATTTTTGGACTCTTCGTGCAGCCCGCTGCGAGGTCACGAATCAAACACATCACAAGTCAGCCATCAGGAAAGAAGGGCGGATGAGAAGAAAGGAAACCGATTCAAATCAAGCCTAACTACTCAACAATGCCAACATCTAGTCCAACTTCCTGACCGCTGAAAACGATTTGTGTGCGCGTCATTATGCCTCTGATCTCTCCTTTTCTTTTGTCCAACATGTATCTGGGATAGTCAAAAACATCGTCCTTCCAAAGTCCCTGGATATGAGAAGGCGGGGGAATAGACGCAGTCTAGCTGAAGCCTCAAGTACCTAAACCAAACATTTCCAAATCACTCAAACATCCATGGACGTGCCTCGCCGTAACCTTCCGGCGTTCACCTCCTCTTCGCCCGGAAGCAGGCTTCAATAGCCATGGCCACGTTCATCATCAAGATCCATCTCCTCTTGAGACGATGACGTAGGTCTGTTCTCCTGACCTGGAAACTGTTGAGCCGAAGCTGTGGGAGTCGTTGGGCCCTGGGAGGGACGGTTCTCCCTCCTGCGCAAGGGCAACGTGATGGAGTCCCCTCGGGCCGAAGAGCTTGATTGCTGGCGACTGTGTCCAGGTCCTCGGGCTGAAGAGCTTGACTGCTGGCGATTGTGTCCGCGTCCTCGGGCCGAAGAGGTTGATTGCTGGCGACTGTGTCCAGGTCCTTGGGCTGAAGAGGTTGATTGCTGGCGACTGTGTCCAGGTCCCTGGGCCGAAGAGCTTGATTGCTGGCGACTATGTCCGCGCCCTCGGGTTGAAGAGCTTGATTGCTGGCGATTGTGTCTGTGCCCTGGAGATGAAGTGCTTGACTGTTGCTGAAGGTCTGCGCCTCGCCTGGCTCTGGGAGTAGTCGGTGTAGGGCTATCTCGGCTTTGCGAGACGTCAGGCCGGCTGCCGAAATTTGCCAATGAACCCAAGGGCGCTCTAGCGGAGTCCGCTGACTTGGGCAGGTCAATGGAGTCGGAAGGCGGTATTCTGATAGATGATGGACGATTAGGACGCCGAATTCCCGGAGTCGTGTCCGGGCCTGGCTTGTTTGCGATACCCGTGGTGCCCGTGGTGCCCATTGTGCCGAGAGTTGTACGTTCGGTTCTTTGACCTTGAGTTCGAGAAAGGGGCTGGAGGGCTTCGCCAGTCTGGCTTCTGATACTCTCACGACTCGGAGGGTGACTCCGAGGGGGGCGGTTCTCGTCGCCTGGTGTGGCACTGCGACTGGAGCTGGGAAGGGGCGGGGTGTTGCGAGATGGGAAGACACGAGACGGGACGTTGAAAGATGGTCTGGTGAGAGTGACAGGCGTCGGAACAGGACTGACTGTGCGGGGAGTTGTGATCTGTGTCGAAATCGGGCGAGGCACTCGACTGACAAATCCCCTAGGTGTTCGTCCGGGGTTCTGAGAGATGGTCGACACATCGGTAGACTGGGATTCAAACTTGGCAATGAGGTTCGAAACTTTGCGTTTTCCAGCTGTGCTGGAAGGTGGGCTGAGCTCGTTCGAGACTTTGCGTTTTCCAGCTGCGGTGGACGGTGGGCTGATCTCGTTTGAGACTTCGCTTTCTCCAGCTGCGGCAGTCGGTTGGCTGAGCTTATATGCCATCGGTAATTCGTACTGCGACGTGGGATGCTGGAAGCCGTTGACAGCGTAAGACCGCAACCCCTTGATGATTGCCTTTTTGGCCAACTTCTCCCCCTCCAAGTTACGCTCGCCTTCCGGGTAGTCATCTATAAGTCGAAAAATAGCTTGCACCGCTTGTTCCGTCTCGTCGATGTAGTCTAGTAGCTCGAAGGTCGAATACGTCTTGTTCGCGTATGGTCGCTTGGGATCTAGTTGCTTGATGTCCAATTGCTTGGTATCATAGGGCGAAAGTCGCTTGCGAACAAATGGAGCCTCTGCCACTGGCCCGAAAACCTTCTTCAGCCACGCATCGAACACCTTGTACCTCCACTCATCGTTCTTCGTTTCTGGGATGGCCTCGATGTAATCACCGAAGGCTGGAGGCCACCAGCCATGAAACTCTGGAATGGCATCGATGTCGCATCTCAGGAAAGGATGAGGTGTGTGGGGGAGCTTCTGTAAGCAGTAAATTCGGCCATAATTTTCGGCAAACTTGGTCTCGTGCCACACCTGGGTATGGCTATGGTCCAAGAAAACGACTCGCAGCTCGTCCAGATCTGTCTCTCCATCCTTCATAGTGATGAAAACGTTCCACGGTTGACAGTGGTGATGTTCAACCCCAATTTGGAAGCCCGCAGCGAGACCGTGAAGCATCATCTGTATGACAAGCTGCCGCTTCTCCAGGTCAAAGGTGATATGTCTCAGTTGATTATCGTTCCCACGGAAGCCCACAGGACCGGGAGGTGGGATGAGCTTCCCAAGGTATTCGGTATCAACACCATCATCACCACCATCGCGATAACACAGTTCCTCAATGGAGTAGCCATGAATGTGCTCGATGAGAATTAAGCCGACGAGCCTGATGTGATCGTTGCCCGCGTAATCTGTTCCACCGTTGACCTTCATAGCCCAGCCACCGTAGAATTGCGGCATGGTGTGTGGGTAACCCGTCCTCTTGTTGTAGCGAAAGTAAGCGTAGGCTGCGTGAATACGGCTGAGAATGCCATCAGCGTTCTGTGCGCTGCTGTAAGGGCCACCGAAGCTACTCGGAAAGTAGCCATAGTCGATCGCTTTGGCGACAAGTCGTCGGGTCAGGGGCTCCCGTTGCTTGGTGTTGGGGTCGACGATGCTGAGGGGTTCCTGGTAGAACTTGGGGCGTTCTTCGGGCGGGAATTCGACAACTTGACAGGCGAAAATCTGAGATTTTCGGTTCTCGCCGTATTTGATGGCCTCCGTGATCTTGACCTTGGCGTGATGACGGCGGTCGGTCTTAACGAAGTTGCGCAGTTCTCCGTAGCCGTGATCCTTCGGGAGGGGGTTGCTGTAGTACTGCCCCAGGCCATGGGGGCGGACGGGCTCGTATGGATACAAGGTCACCACGTCGCCTACATTGTATGCAACGCCTGGCCTTTTCCACACGGGCAGAGGCATCGTGGGACTGGCCGGCAATTGTGGGCGACTGATGTGAGGCTGACTGAGTATGATGATTGATGAGAAGAATGTTGGAGTGAGTGTGGATGAAGGCAGTTGGTGACGGGTCCTGGTGAAGATGGTGCAGGGCTGAAGGTGTAGGACTGACTCCAAGTCGAAAACACCTTACTCTGGCAGATGGTCAAAGAGGGGAAAAAAATGCCTGAAAGCATTTTAGACAGTGCACAATGTTCTAGCAGACTCTCAGAGGGAAGAACGAGAACACTGGAGATCGAAACGGAAGGCAGAAAAGCAGGCGGCAAGATCCTCCCCCAACCCTGAAAGCCTTGAGGCCGACGCGATCGGAGACAGGTGCCTGTGAATGGCCACATCCAAACTTTTCGCTCATCCCGACCAAGGTTACACAAGGTACAGTTTTGGCCCAAGAAACTGACAAGCAAACCCTTTCAGCCAGGTAACTAGCAACACTGTATCCAAGCTTAGTTAGACCCATGGGTTGGGGATGCAGCCATCCAGTAGCCTGCCACATCTGCACAGCACAGCATCAAGCAACAACAGCACTACGTAAAAATGCTGCGGCTACTGTTCTATCTTCTTTGAAATATTCTGTAGATCTACTGGTAATTGATTGATCCAAGCAACCGGTTCTTCGCATGCAAGCGCATCGGACCAGCGCCGATCTCTCATTTCCTTCACCGGGCGAGGCAAGAAACCTGACTGACCATCGACAGAACTTGACGGGTGAGAGAGACAACATCCACCACAGACAATCCAAGTGCCTCTTCTTATTGGTTCCGAAGTTGTATGATGGAATCAAGAAAGAAAATCTAGCAGATATTCAAGCATTGGTACTTGTGTGCCTTGCTTTGTGCAGCTGTTTGATGTGATTCTAAACCCAGAAAATCCTGTGTAGTATTGAAGATCCTAACCAAGCATCTTAGAGAAATGAAAGCTGGGGGCTGGGGTTCACATCCAATCTCTGTCGTTCCCTCTGCCCAGGTTGTGTCCAGAGTACATAGCAAACCATGAAGGTTGGTTGATTGAGCTGTGCTAGCACCGTCACCGTCGCAAGAACAAACGGTTCTCCGGATGTTGCCGACGGACCAAGGATCCATACTAATAGGCTTGGCCGTGTGACTTGCTGTACATATCCGTTTGTCCTTGTGGTGGCGGTGAAAAGGAGAAATTTATGTTGACTTGCGTTAAACACCATGAAAGTAGCCCACAAAAAAAGATGTCATACTTGTACGGGAGGAATATTGAGTGCCTGCTGTGCTATGTCGACTACATTTCTGTTGGATTCTTCTTGTAACTTTCGCAACTGCTGATTTGGCCCCTTGGGATATCGTCCGTACCTTCAAAAGCATCTCTACTTGTGTCATCTTGTCCAAGGTGCGAGGAAAGCAGACAGATGTGTGGAGACCTCCAGTAGGTGTGTAGATAGTACTGAAGGAAAGAAAGAAAGCTCAACCAGATACTCTGGACTCTGAAACCAGCGTCCAGCGAAACTCCGGGGCCTAGCTCTCCTGCCTACCTGACCCTCGCGTCTGCCCTACTGTCCTCTCGAAATAGCCTCACATGAGCGCTGCTCGGCCGACAAATTTGCGAAGGGCCTTGAACGGTCGAGCAATCCGCAAAAAGATCCCTTATGTTGATTTCTCCAAGCGTTTGCAAAATTACCCGTAACTCCCTCGCTCCGCCCCTGACGCGCAGCAAAGCGTAGCGGAAGGAGCTATGCTCTGGGACATAAGCTGGAAGATGCCGGTCAGTCAGTGCGTGTACATCCGTCTGGTCTCTTGACCAGACTCCAGAATGGGATAGGAGGGCCTCGCAACGGCAAGTTCTGCCAAAGGGTCAGAGGCAACCATTCCGGTGCGCGGACAGCTGCTTCTGTTTCTTCCTGGATCTTCATCTGAGTGGCGCGTTGGCAAAGACTTGCAGGCGCAGCGGAGAGAACATGCTGGGTTCAGGGCCCGCATCAACGGAAATGCGAGTCTCAAAGCTACGACGTCTTTCCACCACTGGATGGAGCATCACAGCAAACGGTCGAACAGGGGTTTCGGCGAACAGCCCTGAGAATGATAACCCAACATTCACCATACCCAGGACGATGCCGTTCCCCTTCTCCCAGACCTTTTTGCAGTCTTCGTGGCATCGGTTTTGACCATCATTAGCCAGCCTGACAACACTGTTCATTCTCACGACACCGTCCTCTTTCACGACGTCACCCCTGCTCTCTCCTCCCCATCGTTCGCCAGCTCTCTTCTTGCCACAGTTCCTCACCATCATCCGCAAGCTCTCGCCATGGAGAACGATGCGTTTGCAGGGGCTCTCAACCCTGGCCGTCCGGCCTACAAGTACACAACTCGTGAAGGCGGCTGTTCGAAAATCAGTGAGGAGTTTGACAACTTCCACCTGCCGTTCGAAGGCGAAGTCGAGTGGGAAGAACCACACGAGCTGATCAAAGAGGGTATCAACCTGATCGAAAGCATCAAAGGCAGCAAATACAAGTTAAACAGCGAACAACTTGTCGATCCCAAGACCGTCGTGTCATTTCCCGCCGTCGAAGCCAACACTAGCCATCTGCCCGGCACCGAGGAGGACGCAATCAAGGTTGACGTCCGGCATTGGACTAATGCAGTGGACGAGATCATCCGGGCATCAGAGCCCCAGCTGCCCAAGATGGTGTCGTGGTGGATGAGTGAGGTCTCAGGCAGTGTAGCTGGAGTGTACAAGGCCGACACAGCGACGGCGACACAGATTGCCATAGACAGCATCTTGAAAGCTGTCCGCATTGCCATGGCTACCCAGAGCCGGCCTTCTTCGGCGGCGTCTTACCACAAACGCTCGCCGATTCGCAAGACTACAAGTCGCGGCAGCCCGAGTGCAGCCGGCGGTGGACGCAATAGACGCGGTGGAGATGGCCAATCCCGTGGTACGCGTGATCGTGAGCGGTCAGCTTCCCCTCAGCCCACGGCTCCCTTCACGGCCCCTCCGGCGTCTGCCATCGCCGCTCCTGGCGCCTCTCCTGCCGCCCCTCCTGTCGCCCCTCCTGTCGCCCCTCCTGTCGCCCCTCCTGTCGCCGCTCCTGTCGCCGCTCCCGACGCCTCTCCGGCGTCTTCCTTCGCCGCTCTCGAGCAGCCGTCAGGATCTGATGCAATGGCCGCCCCCTACCTGGCCGAAATGGTTCACTTGGCAGAGCAGAGCTCAGTCACGGGCGATCCCTTTGAACGGATCCCGGCTGAACGACTTGTGGATCATGTGAGGTTCGTCGGTATTGTAAATGAGATGAGGAAACGCTGCGACCCCAAGGTGGACCTCCTGGTCATGCCCTATTTGCTCGCTCGGGTTGACTGTTTACACGGGCGGGCTCCCGAGGGCTGCACCGACACTACGCTGAAGCTCGGCATTCCAAATGGAATTTCCCGGCCAACAAACGCCGAGGAATACAAGCGCCCAGGATACGTCTGGAAGTTCATAGATAACCTCCGGAAGTGGGCCAAACGCGAGCCCATGGAACCGCCAAAGCGAGGTTGCGGCCAATCTTCCAAGTTTCCATCGGCCGGCGATGACCCCAACATCCCGGGAATTCGCAAGAACATTCGTCAGGCAACTCCCCTGAACACTGGCAACTTGCACCTGCTGAAGCAGGGGTTCGGCTACATCCTTCAACATCGTATTCGATGTGTTGAGCTCACAGACAGCATTGGCTCAGTCTTCCTCGAGGCCCTAGGCCTCAAGATAGACGAGTTTACAACTTCGCCGGAGCTCTTCCGGCAGGCTCTCAAGTCTGGACCCCTTGGAGCAGGCAAGCTGCGCATCACTGCCATAGAACAGCATCAGCGCGAGCATATCATTGCGGCACGTGTCGCCTTCCGCGACAGGGCTCGACGTGGCGTGCCTGACGACATTGTCAGCGAGGGGCCCCAGCCCCGCCCTGCGGACCACTATAGGAAGCATGAATTCACGGATGATGAGATTCCGCAAATGGAGAAGTTGATGTACGGCGTGTGGCTGAGCCCGAAGAGGAAGAAACGGAGCGTCTCTCGTGAGGAGTAAACTAGGATCAGCTTGGTTCTTGGGGAGGAGTTGATAGGAACAGTATTGCGGACGGTAGAGAGGGCAGTAGAGAGGACAGTAGAGAGGACAGTAGAGAGGACAGTAGAGAGGACAGTAGAGAGGACAGTAGAGAGGACAGAAGAGAAGACAGTAGAAAGGACGACAGAAGGAGAGAAGAGCAGACGGGTTTACATGTTACTCATAGAGCAGACCGCGAGGCCTCCCTGGTCGTTGCTGAATTTTTACCTTTCACTTGGCTCAGCGTTCAGATACCCTCTACTTTCTCCACCGTAGAGCGTGATACTGCGAAGAGCATTGCGATGCGTCCGATCCCAAGTCATCAATGGGGGCGCACCGGCTCGTTGTGGGGCCGAGATCAGCTGCGAGTACACCTCTTCAGCAGGCCAAGATTTCCTCTGCCGAGTACCTTCATGAGGGCAGATGAGACTAGGTTGCCTTTTTCTCAAAGTCTAGGTTGAGGAACCAAATGAGTTCAAGCGGTTGACCCTCAGCTTGATAACTCAGAATGTATGAGGTCAAAGCCCTTGTATTGGGGGACGGCCTCGATCTCTGGGAATGACCTGCTTGCCAACTCTGACAAACGAAACTTGGCAGGGCCAAAAGGGAAGGAAGCGTTGATGATGGGAAAGTGATGCACCGTCTGCCTTTTGGCCCGTGTTAGCAAATCCAGACGGGTCCCAGATTCGAAGTCCCCGCCACGTCGGCAGTTGTTCGGGGGACGTTGCAGTGGATGTGGCTTGGGGTCACATGCGGCAGTGGCACAGCAGCGCTCCTATCGATAGATAGATAAGATAAGACACCCGGGTCGCGATAACATGAAGGAGGGGCCGTCAACAAGCGCGCTCCCAGAAGTCGGCCGACGGAACTAGACGCGTGCCGATCTAAATTGTACGGTCAGATTAACATCGCGACCGGGCTGTCACCTCTCACAACGACCCCCGCCTCCGGCCGCTGACAGACGAATCCCCTCCGGCGGGGAAAACAACAGCGTGTCTCTGAACTTTCGGTCAACGGCGAACAAGAAAAAGGGGGGTCACCGCGGCAATGGAGGAAGCGCACCGCAAAATCGAGCTGCAGTCCAACGAGGACCTGGCATACCTGCTCGACAATGTGCGCCGCGCCGCGCAGGACCAGCTCGACAAGGCCTTCCCCCAGATCGAAGGGAGCAGCGCGCAGGAGGACGAGCTGAGGGCGCCCATCGAGCGTCTCGTCAACGAGGTAAGGGCTCAATTCCCCCAAACACAAAAAAACACAGCAAATCCAGACCAAAAAGACACTAACCCCTCCCGCGAAAAACAGTACATCAACAAAACATTTACCTACGCCGCCCCGAACCTCTCCATAAACGGCCTCGACGCCGACCCCGCCGTCTTCCTCTCCCCCAACCGCAACCCCGACGAGCCCGAAGAGGCCTACGAGCCCTGGGACGCGCGCCTGCGCCAGCGCGTCGAGGACCTCGCCCGCGAGGAGGAGGACCTCCTGAATGAGATCGCCGCCCTGAAGAAGAGCGTGCCCGGCGGCGTCGCGGCCGCCATCACCCAGGACTTCAAGACGTCGACCGCGGCAGACGAGGCGGCGGTCGAGGCAGCCAAGAAGGCGCGCGAGGACGAGCTGAAGGCGAGGGACGGGGAGGTGCTGCCGCTGGACGAGGTGGAGAGGCAGGGCGAGACCAAGGCGGCGTTCGGGGGCGCCGTGGAGAGGCTGGGCAAGCTGAAGAAGGATATGCCTGCGACTGTGGCCAAGATGGAGAGGGCGAGGATCGCCGGCGAGTATACCGTCACGGAAAGATCGTAGCGCGGTTGGGTTCAGGAGTTTTCGGCGTTGGGTTATACCACATGAAGTCTGCCGACGCGTTTCTACGCGTTGATCGTCAAAATCTCACGTCTATCCATGTCGGATCTGGTAGTCACGAAATATGCTAATTCATGACGAGAAGTTAAAGTGAAAGCGATAGTATGTATATTGTAGATAAGGTAACATTTCAGCCAAGGCCAACGCGTGTATGAGCGACTCTACAACGGAAGCTCTTATTTTTAACCATCCCCAAGCCCGCTCCAATTTCATCAACTCTCATGCAACAAGCCTCGCCAACGCCTCATCTTTGACTGGTGTCGTCCAGTATCAATAGCGCCTGGCCCCCAAAACGACAATCTCCCCGAGCTTCGACTCAAGCATGGCAATCTACCAGGAGACGCTTATGCCGCAGCAGGGGCCTTGGCGGGGTCGGCAGCACCGTCAGTGGTGACGGCGGTGCCGGCGGGGGCCGCGCCGCCAGCGGGGGCGGTGACGGTCTCGCCGCCCTTGTTCTCGATGACGTCGCCAGCGGCCTTGGGCTTGGCCCACCAGGGCTCGTTCGTGAACTCCTTCTCTTGCCACGGGCCGGCGTCGCTCCACTCGCAGCCGCCCTGGCACTCGCACTTACCACCCAAAGACTTGGGCAGGTTCTCGGGCGGAATCTGGTTGAGGAGCTCCTTCTGGTAGCCACCGCCGAGGATGTTGATCTTGGAGACGGTGACGGGGTCGAGCCAGCCCTTGATAACACTCCAGGCGGTGGAGAATCCCCAGGGGGCGTTGATGATGTAGAGCTTTCCGAGACGCTCGGGGTAGTAGTTCTGGGAGATGACGGAGGCCTTCTTGACGTAGTCGTAAACCTGGGGCAGGCGAGTGATGGGGACTCCCTTCATGTCCATGATTGTGCAGCAGGTCTCGACAAGGTGGTTGTACTTGCGGGAGCAGGCGGGGAAGCGGGGGTCGGCGCACTTCTCGTACTCGACAGCAAGGTTGGTCAACATGCGCTCGGCCGTGGTGATCTTGTACATGGCGGTCAAGTCGATGCCGCCATAGTGCTCGATGTAGACGGGACGGCCATCCTGTTGTGATTGTTAGCGAGCCTTGCCTGTAGACCAAAGGTGTTTCTCAATTCGAACCTTGTCGGTCTTGTGGTAGTACTGGGGGTAGTACTTGAAGATGTCGGCCTTCTCGGGGTAGTCCCAGCCGGCAATGGTGTCGTCCAGGTTGGTCGTTTTACGCCAGGTCTCGAACTCGACGAACCTGGAAACGAAAGATTAGTCGGCGGTCTTGTGAATCGTGGAAACACAGCGGGCAAGCTCACATCTGCTTGGAGAGGTTGACATCGAACTTGCGGGCGCGCAGGAAACGCAGCTGTGTATGCCATGTTAGCCAGGACTGGACACGCAATCCTTATCTTGCGGTCTAGCTTCCGGGAAGTCGTACCAGAGTCAGGGTATCAAGACGCTTAGAGTAGCCCTCAGACTCGAGCATCAGACGCAGCTGGGCGACCTGAGCCTTCTGCTCCTCGGTGAGGTGGCCAGGGTGACCGGGCTGGGCCGTCGGGGCGACAGTCGGGTAGTCGAACTGGTCATACTTGGGGTCGAGTTCGGTTTGGGCCATGGTGGGGCTGTGTAAGGGTCTTCTTCACGAGGAAGAAGAACGGTGTAGAGGGAGGAGGTGGTTGTGGTTGAAGAGGGAATTTCCCAAAAAGGCGGGGTTGGAAGAAGGAGGGAGAGGCGGTGGTTTTGAATCAACACGACGGTCAGTCAGTTGTTGTTCCAAGGAAGAAGAGCACAGAGAGGGCGACCGGGATCGTAGGTGTTCAGGAGAGAAAAGACACTGGAGCTGGCCTGGCTGTGGGGAAGGAAGAGAGATCTCCTGCACAAGTGTAGGGGCGGCTTGAGAGGTTGAATTAAAGTGCACTTCGCTGGCCGTATGCCAAAATTCGTCATAGCGACCGGTCCCGCACGCTGTTGCCCCTGGTTGCCCCTCAAAATGGTACTAGCCAGTCTACACCGCACTTGCGCACCCGCATCTAATAGATACGAAGTACGTATGCTCTTTCCCATCAGCTCCATGAGCATCGCCCGCCACGACACTTACGTAACCCACTAAACCGCCGCCCACGCGCGGCCAGAGGCGCTGTAGATTGGTAGATTAGTGCATCTCGGCGAACGGCACCAAGCCCTGCCAGTCAACCTGGAACCCGGCCAGCCAGCGAGGTAGCATGCAGTGTTCTAGCACTGATTCGTTGGGCGGCATGAGTCGAGCAACTCAAGTGGCTGACTGGCTTATTTCCGGCCCTATGAGACATCGGATGGTTCTCAACGAGGTTGCTGTTGGGACGTGACATATGTCTGCTGGTGGGCGGTTCGCTGCGCTGGGACGATTAAGTCCGTGGTGTTGCACGGAACAGTTCTGTTAGGCTCAAGACACCATCGGCAGCCGGGGTCTTTCACAATCCGGACTATGTATTTGATGGCTAAGCCACGCTCATTAGACCGATTGCCCGTCATTTAACCCTGGGACTCGTTTGAGGCTCTCAATCTCCGGGGCCGCATCATGACGAATCTTTTAGGGGTTGGAAAATCCGCACACGAGGCCTCCTTGAATTGCTGAAAAAATCATGAAATCTTTTAATTGGTATCAACTCTCCGACTAGCCACCAGCCTTGGTCTTGTCCTCGTCCTTTTCGGCGCCCTTTCCGTCTTCCTTGTCTTTGCGCTTCTGAACAACCTCCCAGTTGTAGACTCTCGCAATGGCAACTTCCATGGTCTGTTCTCTCTGTCAATGGGCGGTGCTCTGGGCAGCTCAAGGGTCGTGAACGTACCGTAATCTGCTCTCTCAGGAAGTCCAAGTCCTCCTCGCAGTTTGATAGACTCAGTTTCGCCGTCGACAGCTTGGATTGCAGCAGCGTCTCGGCCTCGTCGATGGGGTACGACAGCATCACGTTGGCCTGGCTTCGATCAGCATCATCATCACGCGTTCTGTTCAGAGAAAACGCACGCCCAGCCAGATGTAGACCTCGTTCGTCGGCGGGATCTTCGCCTTGGAGTATAGAGTGTCGTTCAGCTCGAAAGTCGTCTCAATCGGTTCGTCCTCATCCTGCGCAGTGTCAACACCCCCTATCTTGTTGCCCTGCAAATGATGACTCCAACCTGTCTGAGCTTCAAGAACTGCACGGAGTC